CCCTGGGTCCCCGCGCGCTGCCCCTCTCTTCCCGCGCCCGGCTCGCTCAGAGGGCGCCCCGCTCCGCTGCCCTCCGCAGCCTCGGGGGCAAGGGCGAGGCCCAAGAAGCAGCAGGCCACCCATGGCCGAGCCGGAGGCCGTGGCGGACGACCTGGACGCCCTCATCGACGACCTGGACTACCTCCCGGGCCACTTCGATGGAGATGCAGCTGAACTTCGAGCCCCGCTCGCCCGCCTCGCTGCGCGCCCGGGACCTGAAGCTGCAGGGGGAGGGCCTGCGGCAGGAGCTCGAGCTGGCGGCCGCCCCGCAGCGCCCCGCCGTGCGTCACCTCTTGGGCGCCTTCGCCTTCTACCTGGAGGAGCTGGACGAGGCCCGCGAGCGCTTCCTCGAGGTGGCCCGCGAGGACCCGGGCAACCTCAACGCCTGGGCCAATCTGGCGCACGTGTACGGAAGGCTGGGCCAGGAGGAGGAAGAGGAGGCATGCGCCGCGCGGCTGGCCGTCCTCATGGGCCTGGCGGCGGACCCCGAGGCCGCCGGGGACCCCCAGCTCCGCGCGGCTCGCTGCCTGGCAGAGCAGGGCTATGCGCACGGCTTCGACGTTGGCTGCGCCAGCCCGGAGGAGCGCGCGCGGGTGCTGGAGGCGGGCATCGCACTCTACGACAAGGCGCTGGGCTACGGGCAGCAGGTGGGTGACCGCGCCCAGCTGGGAGGGCTGTAGTCACGATCCTTTCCATGTGCAGAGAATCCCTTGCACCTGAGACTCTCCCTCAACCCTGGAATACACTTCGGCCCCCAGAATAACTTTCCAATGTGCATCCCCCCTCCCGTCCCTGACCAGGCCCTTAGCTTTTCTCTCCTGGGCTAGGGGGTGGACCCGCTTCCTAACCGGCTGCCTGCCTACTGTCTCTTGCGGCAGTACTGCAAACCCAACCTGGCAACTCACCCCTCTTACCTTGCTCCTCCCAGCAAGTACCTGTCCTGTGCCTGTGCACACCCGCCTAAAAGGCACAACCAGACATCCCGCTAGAAACTCGAGCAGCATTCCTACCTCCTCTCTCCCGCTCACCCCCTTTCTCCATCCATTCAGACCCCAAATCTTGTCCATGCCACCTCCTCATCTCTCTAAGTCTCTCCACTCCTCTGCCAGCCCAGCGTCCATAATTTCCCACCTGCACCAGGGCAGTTGCCGTCCTCCTTCTGGGTTCCTGCCCTCCAGCTTGACCCCTCGCCTCATCCCCCACTCTGCTGCCAGTGTCCTGTTGTTCCATCTTGTTGGCTATATTAGTCTGCTTCTGTTGCTTATAACAAAATACTAGGAATTGGGTAATTTGTAAGAAAATGAAATTTATTGCTTACAATTTCTGAGGCTAGGAAGTTTAAGTCCAGGGACCATGTCTGGTGAGGGTCTTGGTGGTGGTGACAGTGACAGCAGAGTATCACATTGTGAAAATGGTGGAGCAGAGAGAGACTAACCTCCTCATTCACTGTCCTTTTAAAGTCCTCCAAACCACACCCCTGACCACCATTATTAATCCATTCACTACTGCACAGTCCTACAATCCAATCACCTCCTCAAGGCCCCACCTTTCAATTACCAAAATAGGATTTCCCACCCTCAACAGTTACAATGGAGATTAAGTTTGGGGAGACATTCAACCCTAGGCACTGGCCATGTCCCTCAGTGGCTTACAACCCCCTAGTGGCCCACCACCACCTGACAGCTAAATCCTGGGCTCCTTGGTGGGCATTTGAGGCCCTCCATGATGTACTGCTGTGCCTTTCCTCTGCCACGTTCCCCCTTCCAAGCCAGGCTTTGACACATCCCACTTCCCCTTGTTCCCCGTGATCCAGGTCTCCTTCCAGCTCATCTTGTCCCTTTCTCAGCCTCTTCCTGGGATGCCCTTCTGTCCCTCCTTTACTTGAAAGGTGCTCTTCAGCCTTGGGTGTGTCTCAGACATCACTCTTCTAGGAAGCCTCCACTCACTTCTCCAGCAGGGTCACAATGCCTCCTTCAGGCTCCCATAGCACTGTTCATGCTGTCTGTTTACAAGTCTGTCTCTCCAACTCAACCTGGAAGTCTTTGAGAGTGGGGATGATGTCTGTTTGGTTTACCACTGTAAACCCAATGGCACAGCACCTGGCATATAGTGGCACTCAATAAATGTATCTTGAATGGATGTACATAGCATAGGGTCTGGCACTAAGTAGATAAATACTAGGTATATTATTTAGCTATTGCCGCATAACAGATACTCCCAAAACTCAGCAGCTTAAATCAGTAAGCATTTATCACACAGTTGTTATGGGTCAGGAATCTAGGCATGGCTTAGCTCAGTGCCTCTGGGCTGTGGTCTCATCTGAAGGCTCACCTGACTGGGGGAGGATCTGCTTCCAGGTCACTCACATGGCTGTTGGCAGGATTCAGTTCCTCACTGGCAGCTGGTCAGAGGCCAGATC